TAACATCGTCTCGATATCGTAGGACAAAAACCATTCGACTTTCAATTTCGTCTTTATTGCGATTTCTTTGCCCTACTACCGACCGATTTGATCCGAGGTTTCCCGACGACGCGAAGGAAACGCATTGGAAGAAAGCAGTTGGCGGACTCGTGCGAGACAGCTACATCTACGTCTCAATACGGGCAACCGATTAAGAAGAATGGGTGTGGTGAAAGAGGAAAGCGAGGAAAGAGGATGAGGGAAGGAAGGAGGAGCGAGAAGGAGGTATACATAGTGATGGCATCCATTCTCTCCTCTCGGTTGTTTCCAGACTGGACGCAGGGAGCTCGATGGCTGCCCGCCTGCCTGTCTGCCTGCCTGCTCGCCTGCTCGCCTGTTCGCTCGGCTGGCTAGCTGCTTGCCTGCCCGCTTGCCTTGCTAGCCCGGCTCCGAGTCTCTCTCTCGATTACTTGAAAAACCGGATTCCTCCTGCGCGAAACTGTGTTTCCCGTCTCGTGTTTATGTACCAATACACGCCGCTCGAACAATGTTGGATGAGATGCACGTGCACGGCGGTCCGGCTAACCGCGCGTACGCCGAGGATCCAGCTTCCGATTTGGAGCGGAAATCGACGACGACATTGACAGGGAATGTCCAGAGAAACGAATTGGACTCGGCGTCGTCCGAAGTGGAAAGAGAGGAAGACGTAGGATGAAGAATAGGCGAAGAAGTGGTGGCGCGGAAGGTGCTTAAAGGGCCACGATGTCATCGGCCGTAGCCTCGAGGGTCGGTGTTCGAGGGTTAAATCCAAGGGTTTTGAGGGAGTCGGTGTCGAGGGTAAACATATACATACCTAAGCGCAAATAACGCGCGTTAACGGAGACCGTGGTCGAGCATCGGGAGTGAAAGACAGGGAGAAAGGGAGTTGGTCGGATTTCTTCGTCGTTTGGTAAGAACAATGACGGGAAGCCGAGGATTCGCGGACAAAGGGCAAATTTTCCGAATAATTTCACGATACCTCGTCTCGGTGGTCGCTCGAGCAAAAGGGAGAACGAACGGTTTGTCGATGTCCGTGCGGTCACTGTCAGCGGCTGAAAAAAAAAAAAAAAAAAAGAAAAAGAAAGGAAAACTACAAAGAAGGGAAAGAAAGTTGGGATCGTGTGCGTTCGAAGCCCGAGATACTCGCACATCGATGATGCGGGAAATAGACAGCAAGGAACTGGATAAATTTTCGTCGAGCTTAGCAAAAGATGGAAACGATAGTGACGAGAGGAGAGAGAGAAAGAAAGAGTATAGCCGGCCGTGATCGCTACGCATAACAAATTCCACCTGTGCAGACGGCTCGCCTTCCATTCATCTGTCCGTCGCGGAGGGCCGCGCTGGAAGAAAGAACAGACGTGACGAGGTCGCGATGAAGAGGGATACCGGGCACTCGTTTAGCTTGGCAATTTATTCTCGCGTTTTGTAATTAACACCAGAAAAGAAGTAGCGCAGTCGTCCTTCTCCTACGGGCACGAGACGCGCGGCACGAGGGTAGAGGTGACTACTCGCCTCCTGCGCCTCCACCCTTCGCCTTCGCCTTTGCCTTTACCTTTGCAATCCTCTTCCTCCGACCGCCAAGTCCGACTGCTGATTTCACTTCTCCGCCTTCGTCTCCACGTCTCACGAGAGCGTTACACATGCAAAGAGAACACGTGTATCGTGATTAAGCGGCGCGCAAGTCAAAGTCCGAGGGAGTAGCGTCTGCTTTCGGTGGATCTCTCGGCCCCGTGGGATGAGAAACACCGTGCCGTGGATGAGAGGAGCAAAAAAAAAAAAAAAGAAGGATAAAGGGTAACGAGAGAAAAAGCGAGATCCGCAGATACGGGCGGGGAATACGACGATCGGGAAGGAGGGGGGGAGGGGGGGGGGAGAGGAGAAAGACAAAGCGAAGAAAGGACAAGCGGGAGAGAATGCACGGGGGGGTGCGAGAGAAGGAGCAAGGGAGAACGACGGAGAAGAGAGAAATTGAACAATGTGGAAGAGAACGAGAAGAACGGCGAAGAAAGGGAGAGAGGAGAAGGCGGACGAGTATGAGGAGGAAGAGGTGGAGGATGATGGAGGCCTCTCCTCCGCATGCCACTGCAGTCAGGCCAGACAGAAAGCGGTCTGTATAATTATGGGTTGTCACCTCATCAGCCACGAGAGGGGCAAAGAGGTGGCGGTATATACGTCCGCGCGCGGGTCCAGGGATCCAGGGGTGGGAAGTTATAGGAGCGCAGTCTTTTGCTCAAATTGTGTTTTATCGTCCATCGCGGAGGCCACCGCGATCGAGTTGGCCGGCCATCGTCTCATTCCTCCTCGCTGTCGAGGAAAGGAAGATCTCCAGAAATTTCGTTTGCTCTTGAATCACGCGACGGTAAAATCCCAGTGGAATACCGGTGTTCGGTGTGGACAGTGCGAGACGTGCACCGTTGCACCAGATTTCGGTAAGGTCGAACGTACCGCGACCGACAAATACCCGCTGTCGAAGTTATAAAATCGAGGGGAACGTGCGTTTGAAGTATCTCGGCTGATCGGAACGTGCCACGACACTCTTGCTCCCTCCGACCATTCCCTTCGTTCACGGCCCCTTTCCTCTCCACGCTGCCCTACTCTTTTTTTTTTTTTTGTTTCTCGCTGCCCTCTCGATCGTTTTCTCGCTCTCCGCCCGCTCTCGCATCCACCATGTAGCTACTTCTCCGTCTCTCTATTCCCCCCCACTCCGTGACACCGCACCGTTCGGTTTCGTTCTCTCTGTTGGTACACACGTAGCAATCTACGAAAGAGCGCGTACACACGTAGGGAGGGAAAATAAAAAGAGGGGTACTGCGCGAGAAGGTACTGAGGCTAAGTGGAGAGTTTAGAGGGATTTCATTAAATCATATGGATTGGGGATAATGCATGTTATTGAGCGGAGCGTTCAAATCGCTCTCTATAAGTTGTAATAAGTCCAATTTTAGGGCCGGTCATGGGCCGGGTCCCACAGTGGTTGTCAAACGATCTCGCTGGCGTTTCGCTGGCAATCGCGAGCCGAACGGCCATACACCGCGATCGACAGTCACTGTCTAGCGAACCCGCCACTTACTCGTCAAACGGCCAGCCGGTCCGCCGAAATCACTGCCATTTAGATAATTTGTAATGAATAGGCACCGCTCATTTTCTACCCCTACCATCGAGGCAACCTCCTTCTCCCCTTTCTGCCTGGCCGCCGCTCCCTGTCTCTTTCTCACTATCTTTCTGCTCCTCTCGGTCTCGCTTTCCATTGCACCGTATAACCTCACCGTTCTGTCCCCCTTCTCGACGAATCCTCACGATCTCGGTCTCGCAATAGCATCATCTTCGACGTCATCTTTGCACGACTGGAATCCCAAAATGGGCCCTCTCGATATAATCGTCGGGCCTCGAACGTTCGTACAAAGTTGTTGTTGCTTCGCGCCCCTGCGAATCAACCCGACTCTACCGACCGGTAGAAGTTTACACGCCGATACGACGTCGTCGTCGCGATCGTCCCCTAAACCAGATCGTGACGCGTGCCGGTTGACGAAGATATACGGTCCGTTTGGAAACACCGGAACGGCAGAATCCTGCCCGGTGAATCCCCCGGCAAATATACACACAGTATTTGCGGGGATCTCGTCCGTCGTTCCATACTCTCTCTCTCTCTGTCTCTCTATCTCTGTTTAATCCCTTCACTTGTAACATCGAGTCGTACTCGTGGCACAAGTCTAGGTCTAAACTTGAAAGAAGTAAATTGCAAACCTGTGAAATTCCAATTCAAATTTTAAATTTAATTTCGTTGAACTGAATAAGCTGATGAATAAAAATTATACATAGTGTGTCTAAATTAATGTTACTTCAGTAAGTCTCTCTATCTCTGTTTAATTTCTTCACTTGTAACATCGAGTCGTACTCGTGGTACAAGTCTAGGTCTCAACTTGAAAGAAGTAAATTGCAAACCTGTGAAATTCCAATTCAAATTTTAAGTTTAATTTCGTTGAACTGAATAAGCTGATGAATAAAAATTATACATAGTGTGTCGGCAGTTACTCTAAATTAATGTTGCTTCAGTAAGTCTCTCTGTCTTTCTATCTCTGTTTAATTTCTTCACTTGTAACATCGAGTCGTACTCGTGGCACAAATCAAAGTCTCAACTTGAAAGAAGAAGTAAATTGCAAATCTGTGAAATTCCAGTTCAAATTTTAAATTTAATTTCATTAAACTGAATAAGGTGATGAATAAAAATTATACATAGTGTGTCGACACTAAATTAAATACTCACAAATACTCTAAATTAATGTTATTTCAGTAAATCTCTCTGTTTCTCTATCTCTGTTTAATTTCTTCACATCGAGTCGTGCTCGTGGTACAAGTCTAGGTTTCAATTTGAAAGAAGAAGTAAATTGCAAACCTGTGAAATTCCAATTCAAATTTTAAATTTAATTTCGTTGAACTGAATATAAGCTGATGAATAAAAATTATACATAGTGTGTCTAAATTAATGTTACTTCAGTAAGTCTCTCTGTCTCTCTATTTCTGTTTAACCCCTTCACTTGTAACATCGAGTCGTACTCGTGGTACAAGTCTAGGTTTCAACTTGAAAGAAGAAGTAAATTGCAAACCTGTGAAATTCTAATTCAAATTTTAAATTTAACTTCATTGAACTGAATAAGCTTATAAAAATTATGCACAGTGTGTCTAAATTAATGTTACTTCAGTAAGTCTCTCTGTCTCTCTATCTCTGTTTAACTCCTTCACTTGTATCGAGTCAAGGTCTCAACTTGAAAGAAGAAGTAAATTGCAAACCTGTGAAATTTCAATTCAAATGTTAAATTTAACTTCATTGAACTGAATAAGCTGATGAATAAAAATTATACATGGTGTGTCAACACTTTAAAATACTCAAAATTAATGTTACTTCAGTAAGTAACGCTCAGCCTTTAAAATTGAAAAGAAGATCGTAAGACAAGTGGTTAAAGCTGTTTGTTCGCTTCTCGTTTCAGACGTGCCGAGGATGGAAAAGTCGCCACTGCTAGCAAACGGCTACAATCACCCGCCAACGCACCTGAGTCACATGCAGTTCATGCAACTAGGTGGTCATCCAGGTGCAGGGCACACTGCCATCCTGTCGCCGGCTAGTCTGCCGCATCACCTGCAGGCGCAGGCTCAGGCGCGCGCCGAACAGGGCCTCAAAGTCAACCCGAACATGTCGAACATGGAGGCGCTCGCGAGGTAAGCTCTACGAAACGTTCTCGAAATTGGTCCGCGCGTATAAACGAAATTACGAGCAAAGCTATATAGGCGGTGAAACACGACGACGATAGAAAGACGGGCAAGGTGTAGCAGCTGGAATCTCGTGCGAAACGACAGGCTAGTTTTTCGGAGGTTCGAAACTCGCGTTGGTTGGGATCGGAAGCGTTCGTCTTGTCCCGGTGTAGTTGTAACGAAGGGCCAGCGAGGCCAAAAGAATACAACTTTAAGAGGATTTGAAGAGACGGCGAAGCCGTGGAAATCCGAGGGGTCTCGACACTGCTTGATCTTTCCTTCCCTCTTTCGCCTCCTCCGTCTCTCGGTGGCGGTCTCCGTTCGAAGTCCGTTTCCTTGGCTGCATCGCGTTCCTTCTAGGTCGTTTACTCGGCTTGCGTTACACTCGCGACCTCAACCGAGTCGTCCTTCTCTCTTCCGCTCGTCGTACGTGTCTGTCGACGATCGGCGCCAAACCCAGCCAAAAAAATTCGCCACGTTTTACCACTCTGTGCGGAATTCCGTTAATTCATCCGCCGCGTCGTGTCTCGTTCAGGAGCGCAGGATCGAGAAGAGCGAGAGCGGATAAATCCTCGAGGCGTTGCGGTCCCGAGACGTATATCGCGGATTACGCGACCTCGTTTAGTCGTTCTTGCGTGCGGGAGACACGAATAGGGAGAAACGAAGACGCGTCAGGACGCAGTCTGTCGGAGGAAGATTCTCCTTACAGAAAGAGAGAGAGAGAGAGAGAGAGAGAGTGTGTGTGTGTGTGTGTGTGTGTGTGTGTGTGTGTGAGAGAGAAAGACGGAGGATAGTCTCTGAGCTAATCCAGGCATTTGTTAACGCGTTTCTAATAGATACCGTTGGTGGTGCTCCCTGTTCTCCCGCCTTCGTGAAACTTCGTCTCAGCCACAGGGGCTTTCGAGGATACGGAGACTCGCCTTAATTTTCGATTACATCCGCCAACCGTAATTAGCCTCGTTCTATTCGCTATTAACCGGTTCAGTTCGCTTCTTCGTCGATTCGAGGCGATACTTTACAGTATTCCGATAGAATGGAAACGTTGGAATCGTGGAAGGAACGTTGGAGTCGTGTCGATTCGTCTTGAGCGGAGGGGTGGCCAGTGTTGTCGGTTGGAGTAAAAGTCGTGTCCTTCCGAGGCTACGCGCCTACGTGTATAATGACGCGACGAAGGCGGCGCCGCACGTTTCGCATTATGATTTCAGCGCTTTGCTTTTAATTAAAATGCAAATCTATCGTGGCAGAGGAGCGAGAGAGATCGGGAGGTAAGACGGATTACGTCTGGGGGCGGCACGACAAACACCGGAATATGATTAATTCAACGCAACCCCATCCTGGCGTACCGTGCCGTCAGCGCACCGTTGCCCTCTATCGCCACCCTCTAATTCAGCCCCGAGCCCTTCCGTTGCTCGCCACAACGCTCGACCGGTTTACGCGAGCCGCAGGCCGCCTTTCGCGACAACAACTTACTTCCGATCCAGCCGTCCTCCGTGCCACGGTTCTTCACCCCTTTTTTCTCTTTTTCAACGAATCGTTCGAGCTTGATTCGCTCCACCAGACTCCTTCTCTCGATCCGCTCCTCTTCGGTTTTTTCGTTCGACTTCACTCGGCGTTTCTTCCAAGTATATTCAACCCCCGGTCGATACACCGGGTAAATTAGCCGAAACTTGGGGACCAACGACGACGTCTTTTTTAATCAACGACATCAAAGCGCCTTCGTTCCGGGCGCGGGACAGACACGATCGAATCAAAGGACAAACGAAAGATGAGACAGCACGAGGAGGACTCTTAATCAACTCCGCGGATCCACTTTCCTCGAGGATATACCGTGGCAAGGCTTATAATTAACCGATTTCGCTTATCAACCGGCGTCCCTCGTCCCTCGTTACTTTTCCACGTTACTTTTCTATCTCGCGATCACTCGGTCTCCCCGTTTTGCGTTTCCACCGTCGTATCTCAAGTGTCGCTTTTTTTTGTGATCCACAGGTCCGGGACGGTTTGGGAAAACTGCCGAGCTGCCTACGAAGATATTGTCAAACATCTCGAAAGGTAGGAAACCATTCAAAGCGATTACCCGAAAGAAAGAAAAGGGAGGCGAGGGAAAAAAGAAAAGAAAGTGGCATCGAAGGGGCTCGACCATGGCGTTTCGCGCCAGTAGGTGACAGACCCGGTTGGGTGGGAGAGATTGGTGCCGTGTGTCTCGGTGGTGCTGCGTGTCGCGTTTGTTCCGCAGCGAGCCGAGAAAAATGAGCCGCGAGACGCGGGAAACGTAGGCCGGTGCAACACGCGACCGTTTCGCGTCCGATAAATCAGCATTACCGTCGGCATCGAGTTTCCGGTCGCGCGACAGGTTGAGTCCAGGCGTGACGCTGTAATGCCTGCATGATTTGTACGGTGCGAGCGTCCGCACCCTCCTTCCCACCGTCCTCAAATCCATCCACCGGCAGCCCGGTCCCGTCACCGATACGACACCAACGTCGACCACCGGCGACCACCCTCGGCTATCCGCCGCACCGCACCGCGCACATCGACCATCGCGCGCCATCAGCCACCACCGTCATCCGCCACCGAGGTTTCCCCGTGATCCTAACCACTTGTCACTTCACGGCACGCAGATCATCGTCACGACGTGCCCGTCCATCATTCGGGGATTAAATCATTCAACTGGCTGTGCGAAATACTCGCGCGTCCTGCGTTGCCCCCCAACAGCCTCGTTGTTCCTTTTACGCTACCGTGGCAGCTTTAGCTTGAAACCAGCTTTCTCTCTCTCTCTCTCTCTCTCTCTCTGTGTCGTTTCACGGGGGCACAAAGTGAAACTTTCCATCCCTACGAGTACTACGGTAGTAGGTGAGACTGTAGGTCTCCTTTGTCTGTTTGCTGGTCTCTGCTGTGCCGTTGGTTGGTCGAGGCGAAGAGAAAGGAAAGACCCCAGGTCTCGAACCCGTTAATACGGGAGTGAAAATCGACACTTGACCGACCGAAACGTAATTTCCAATTCAAAGGCAATGACCATTGGCTCGCTTCTCTCCTCGGCCCCTCGCACGCGTTCACCCCCGCGATCAACCTCTCTCGCTTCTCTCTCATCTCTCCCTTTCTCTCTCTCTCTCTCTCTCTGTCTAGCCAACCGTCTCGTTCTATTTGCTTTAGCGGCTCCCGGTCGAGTCGACTTCGTCAACCGGACAAACGCGTATTGTGATTTCAGCCTTTGACTGGTAGCCTGGTTCGATGGATATCGCAGGGAGTGGCAAATGGTCGCGGACCCGTGCAGAGCGAAACAGAAAGGTACGGAGGGAGGTGGTGGTGGTGGTGGAGGAGGAGAAAGTGGCGGAGGATGAGGTAGAAATAGGGGGGTTCGAATTGGCGGGCACGGAGGCTGGAAGGGACGGACGAGCGAGCACCGTGAATATTCATGCCGAGATCCCTAGACGAATTCGGACTTGTTGCGACTGACACTGATGTAAACCTTTGTTTATCCTGCGTGCACCGTACCCTCGGCCGGTATCCCTTCCGAGCGTGGCTGGCTACGCGTTCCGCGTCGGCTCTGCCTCGCCTCCAACCCCCCCTGATGCCAGCCGAGTATTTAACTGCGAGTTAAATTCTGATTAATCGTCGGTACCGGGGTTATTAATTGTTTGTCCTTTTGATTTTACAAGCTCACGGAGCTCACGCCTACCGAAATCTCGTCCTTCCTGCCGCCCTCTCTCTCTCTCTCTCTCTCTCTCTCATTCCTACGTTTCCAAGCTACGATAGTTTCTCTCTTTCCGCCTTCTTTCGAACCGGGACACAAAATCCAGCGCGCCCCCGTTCTCGTTTTAATCCCGATGATTTGTTGCCGCTAATCCCGGCGAATCCCGTGACATCGGAAACCGGAATTCCGCCGCGAGAGTTGGCCCGGCTCGTTTGTCTTTCCGCCAGTTCGGACAATTAAATCTCATAAGCCAGAAGTCACGGCCCTCGAAAAAGTCGGATAACTTCGACCGCGTATCCGCAGTCTTCGTTACGGACGATGCGTCGCGACTTCGACGAAACGTTCAAAACTTGGAGAGGCCGAAAATGGAATCGCGGAAACAGGAGAAACGACGGATTCATCCATCCCCGCCGCGAACTCTGCCCGTAAACTAAGTAATATTAATGGTCTGGACGATGGCAGAAGGCGCGGTATCAATGCGCTAATGTCGGCTTCCTGCCTTTAAAACTACCCCGTCATTCCGGGATAATTCTCGCGTATTGTCGTTCACCATCCAGCCACGATGGTTTTGCCCGGTTCCTTATCGTCGATCCGCCCGGCCAAACTTACCTCTGAAATACTCTGCCTCCTCCTCCTCCTCCTCGTCTTTCTCCTCTTTCGACGAATTCGCCAGCGAACCCACCCCCTCCGCCTGCCCGGAGACATCATTAATTACGTCGACGGCGACGACAACGTCGACGAGCTTCTATCGTTGGGGACATCTGCTGGAAAATAATATTCATAAAGTTGAGCCCCGACGTTACGAGCGTCGTTTTCGATCCATCTTCGCGCGTATTTCAACTCCCCCCCCCCCCCCCCCCCCCCCCCCCCCCCCCCCCCCCCCCCCCCCAACTCACTCATCATTCCCGAGGCATTCGAAATTGTATTCGATTTTTCTTATCTTCTCGTGGTTGAGAAAAGACGCGATGGGAAAAGAAATGTTCTCGTTTCGTGGCATACCTCAAATGGAAATATCATGGACGATTGTAGCGGTTTGGGTTAAATTACCAGGGTGTAGCGTGCCGATCTAGTTCTACGTATTTTCTTTTCTTCGACGTACGAGTGCCGATCGGTGGCTCGCTGCCTTCAACGTTAATGAAGTGCAGCTAGTTCAAAGTAAAGTTTGATATTGATTAAAGAGTGTGAATTGAATCCCTGGAATGCACTGGGTTTGGGGACGCGAACCGG